ACCTAGCTCCCGTACCAAGTCCCGGCAGGTGGTGCCGGAGAGGAAAGCCTGGACGATCTCCGAGTCACCGACGCTAGGCAGCTCGGTGCACTGCTTGGAGAAGCGCCGGATGAAATCTCGAAGAGACTCGCCTGATTTCTGGCGGCAGTTCTTAAGGTCTCAGGAGTTTCCGGACGTACGACGCGTTCGAAAATTCCCAACGAAGACCCTAACCAAGTCGCGCCGATCGTGGATCTGTGAGGGAGGGGAGGTGCTCGGCCGAGCTCGCGCCGAAGTCGACAAGAGCAAGGAGATTTACGGATGATGAGCGAGGTCATCATCTGCGCCACCTAGTCTGGCGGGCGAGGCGGTGCGGTAGTCGGCAAGCCGAGTTCGGGGTTGGTCTCACCGTTGTATTTCGCGAGGTTGGCTGGTTTTGAAAGCGGGCGGCAACAATCGGGCGACACGGATAGCTCTCTTGAAGACTCGAGGGCGGTGGCTCGGGAGAAGGGATGCGGTCTTCCTCGCGTCGTAGCGGCTACCTCGGTGCACATGGTAGCCTCGGCGGGCCCCCCTCCGTCGTCGTCGTGGCGTCTGCCGGGCCGACCACCTCATGGTCTCCCCGCCCCTCGTCTTTGATTGTCGAGGCGGTCAAGGAGCACGGGACCCTATGAGCTATCGGTGCTCGAGCGGGTTCGGGACGAGCCGAGGCTTCCCTGTCCTGTCGAGGTGGTGCCGCGGGCAGGTTCGAGACGCCCCCGCACCGTCAGGAGGCAGAACTCTCTGCTTGCTGAACCGCGGCGGTCTCTAGGAGATCTCGGAGTTCGCCGCGGACCCGCCGCCCCTCCACGGTAGAAGGCTCGGGCATTGCGCGAACCAGATCGCCGCAGACCACGACGTTACGCTAGCGCGATTGAAGATCGGGGTTGCTCACTTCCTTCGTCGTTATGGATGCGGTGATGCACGTCTAGGGCCCTCCGTCGGGCTCCCCGCGCCGCCATGACCTCGCTGTTCTGCTCGAGAGAGTCTCGAAGCTGCTGCAGAAGGAGTTGGTCTTGCTCGACCATGGCCTGGAGCTCACGGAGCTGTTCTAGGTCTGGGCGCTGAGGTCGCGCAAGAGCGACGTTCTCATTTCGTGCGGCCGGCACGACGGCACATGGAGGTGTAGCGACGCCCACGCCGGGGCGGAGCGGGGAACGGCTACCTGCCCCCTCGTCCTCTTCGCCCGCCCTCGACATCCCGAGCCCGACATGAAAACATTCGCGAGTGGGGTCGTAGGTGCCTTTGTTGTCGGAGTCGGAGTAGCCGAAGCAGTAGTCGCTTGCGGCCAAGAATTGGCGCAAAGCCCCAGGGTTGTGGAGTTCAGAGAAATCCACCCCGGGCCATGTCTCGTCCTCGTCCGAGGAGTCGGAGTGGGTGCTCAGGTCGAGAGCGAAGCGCTGGCGGCGTTCCGAGGGGTGCTCGTGAGCGGCTGTGTAAGCGTAGGCATAAGAGGCGGCGGCGTTTCTCAACCCAAAGGGGTATGGGGACGGCGCCGTCTCCAGATTCTGCTCCGCCGGGGCCGGCTCTTCAGGGAGTGATGGAGCGGAGCTGGACGACTGGGCATCGCCGCGTGCCATAGGCAAGTCTCCTTTGTCCAAGCTCAGGCTAGACAGGTCCCCAGCCAGGGACCCTGTGCCAACAGCTGGTCGTAGGATATTGGCGGGGGGTGGCGTGTCGCCCCGGATTCGCGTAGCGTCGGGGTGGCCTTGTTCGTGCCGTGCTTGGCGAGCGCGGCGAGAGCGGCCGCCCGGACGCCGCCCGCGCCTGGGCTGCCGGGGCGTAACTTCATCGTTGGTTGGTGGGGCTCGAGGAGTGAGGAGCACCATGTCGTACTCATGCCCTAGAGACATGAACTCTAGGCTCCCGAACCAAACCACGGTGCCGAGACGCAATGGTCGTACGTGGTCTGCCATCCGGAACCTGCTGGGATGACGAAACCGACACGCAGCGGCCCCTACCTGGCGCGCCAACTGTCGGTGTTTCGGACCGGGGGGTCCTCAACCGACTAGTGAATTTGTTCTGCGTGCTCCCGATCCGGATGGTGATGCAAAGAGACACAAGGTTTATACTGGTTCAGGCAATCAAGGCCCTACGTCCAGTCTGAGAGATCGATCTTGTATTCCTTGCACCGAGGTGCTCGTAGTAGGGGGTTACAAGCTAAAGGAGAGAAGGAGCTGGTCCTAGGTCTCGGCGGGGTGTCGTGCGGGCCGCTTGAGACGTTGCTCTCAGGCGGCAGGAGTGTGCGTGTGTGTGTGTGTTACAAGGTGTCCCCCTTAAAACAACCTAGGTCCTCTCCTTTTATAGCATGAAGGGAGGACTAGGGCGGTACATGAGCTAACTATACGGCGTCGTGTGAACAGAGGCGGCGTGTCCGAGCCCTGTAGCCTGTTCCTGTGGCGGTGTGGCCGTCGGAGTGGTCCATCCTTGGAGTACTGGGGCGGCGTGGTCATCCCATCAGATCCTGTGCGTCGTGGGAGCCCCGGGAATGCCTCGGAGTGGACGCGGCGGCGAACGTGCAAGCCACTGTGGACGGACTGTGCGCGAGGCCGAGACTTGGTCGATGCCGAGGCTGGCACTGCGGTGGGGGGGTCTCGGCAGGCACGAACCCCAAGATCGCCGAGGCCCCGGTGTACAGTGCCGAGGCCTTGAGCGGGCGGCCGATCATGGGTACAGCGTTTGGACACAGTGGTCGGTAATCCCCGTCGTACCCTGTCCCAGCCGGTATGGCGCTGATCGTGGACACAGTGGTAGGACACAGTGGCCGGTAATCCCCGTCGTGCCCTGTCCCGGCCGGTATGGCGCTGATCGTGGACACAGTGGTAGGACACAGTGGCCGGTAACCCCGTCGTACCCTGTCCCGGCCGGTATGGCGCTGATGCGACCTCGGGTCGCGTCGGTCATCCTGTGGCGTTGAGCCACCGTCCGGCTGAGATTGCGGGAGTGGTTGAAGCATTAATGAGACATGACGAGTTGTTGGGAGGGTCGGCCGAGGCGGGGGGCGACGGACCGCGGACGAGCCGGCCTCGAGCGACACGGAGAATGAGGCCTCGCGCGAGACGGAGATCAGGTTCCTTGCCGAGGCCTTGTGCGAGACGCCTCGCGCGATACGGAGAATGTACCCCTGCCGAGGCCTTCCCTGGATAGCCTCGGGCGAGGCGAGAGGCGGCGCCCCTGCCGAGGCTCGGCGCCCCGCCGAGACCTACCCTGGGGAGCCTCGCGCGAGGCGGAGTTTGTTCCATGACCTCCTACTCGAGGCTCGAGGCGAGGTGGAGGAGGGCTCGGTCGTGGCAGGTGAGGGGCCCACGGCTTACCTTCTAGCTTTATTTTGATGTTTGCTTGGGGTACCCCGTTATAAGGTGCCCGACAAGTCTACTGCTTAATCATGTTGTTTGTGAGTTAATGTTGTTATCGATGTTGCTTAATTCTACTAGTGTGTTAGGAAATTATATGACGGTATATGCATTTGTCATGATTTATTTTCTGAAATTAATTATGAAATTAACTAATTATCCAACAAGACCTAGGACACCTGTCCCTGCACCAACAATTTCCAAGTCACGAGAGCAAGAGCTCAAAACTCTGCTTTCAGAATACAAAGTAGGCTCATTGCCTCACTCACGATTCACGAACGAACACGGCCAACCATCCCATCCGATTCGGGAGCGGTCATTGATTCATGAAGGTGCAGTGGCAAATCTGATTCTTCCAGAAAAATCAAAAGGGAAGAGAGCCAGTGGGAGGAATCAGGGATTTCATGGGCCCAGCCCAAAGCCCAAACGGAGCCCACAGAAGGAGGTGCACAGAGGCCGTCGCTGTCGTCCTCGTCACACATGCCGCTGCTTCAGCCCGCTTGCTCGTATACGATCGTAGATTATAAGTTAGAATAATATTTTTTTTTCATATCAAATCAGTCAGCAGTAAATAATGCACGACAACCAAATGAACTGGCTATATCTCCCTCTCCCGTGCTGCCGTCCCGTCACCGAACCTTCTGTCCAGTGCATTTTTTTTTGGATAAGCTGTGCAGTGCATTTTGAAGGAAGGAAATCTCGCGAAGGTGGCGTGCAAAGCATCTACTCGTAGTTGCGTGGTGGTTCTCACACGCGCTCTCACCACACTGGTAAAACTTGCTTGCGTTTGCGTACACGTACACACGAACGTTTCCAGACACGACGCCCGCCTGTCTGGAACGACGGTTAAAAAAAGGAAACTTTTACCCTGTCGTGTGTGGTGGACAATCCCTGCTGTCCACCTCTGGAATCAGAAGACAACCCGAGCCCGGTGGAGGCGTGGACCTCATCGAGTCTCCGGTGACGGGATGATCGAGTAAGGTGGTGTTTGGTCGCCCCTCTAGAGTCAAAGATTTGATACGTGAAGTATTAAATATAGATTAATTATAAAATTAATTATATAGTTTGTGACTAATTTGTGAGATGAATCTTTTAAGCCTAATTAGTTCATGATTTAACAATATGGTGCTACAGTAAACATGTGCTAATGATGAACTGATTAGACTTAAAAAATTCGTCAATGATAGATTATATATATTTTTTATTTCTCGTGCAACGTACTCCCCACACACCGCTGGACGCAAACACCACCTAAAAGGCTAAAACGAGTCCTCCCGACAAACCACTGGATGCAAACACCACCTAAAACGCGGCGCTCGGCTCAGCCTGCGGAGACTGGGAGAGTGCGCTCGTACCCACCCCACCCACCCGCGAAATCCAAATGGACGGTAGCAGATCTTCTAGAAGCGCAGCGGAAACCGTGGAGACTGGAGAGCTACAATAAAGGCGCGCGCAGCAGCAGGAGCGCTGGATCCGCTTTCCAGCAGGCGCGACGACTCCCCCGTTCGAGCGGCGCACACGGCTCGGTTCTGCTTCGAGAATCGAGAGAGCAGTCCCCCGCACCGCACGGCGCGGCGCTGTGCCTGCCAGTCTGCCATTACCGGCAAGAGGACAGCCGTAGCGTGCGAAATGGCGGCTCCGCTTATGCCCTGGGACCGGGAGGGGTTGAGGCAGGAAGGGGCGGTGGTGGTGGTGGAGGAGGAGGAGGACAGGTGGGCGCGCTTGCTGCCGGAGCTGCTCGCCGAGGTGCTGCGGCGCGTGGAGGAGTCTGGCGGGGAGCGGTGGCCAGCGCGGAAGGACGTGGTGTCGTGCGCCTGCGTCTGCAGGCGGTGGCGCGACGCCGCCGCCACGGTCGTGCGCCCGCTGCCCGAGTCCGGGAAGATCACCTTCCTGGCCTCGCTGAAGCAGGTGAGGAACGCTCTTCCCCCGGAGTTGGGTTCCGTTCATCGTGAAGCGTCCATCGCCTGGGTCTGGGTCTGGGTCTGGGTGCTCGGCTAATTTGGTATTTGGGGCGCTGCTGCACTAGATAGAGCTGTAGAAATGCCAGTTTTATGCAGGGTTTTGGGAGATAGATTGGGATCCACAGCAACTAAGCTGTGTTTCAACATAGGATTTGGGCATCCCCACTTTGACTAGGATATCGCCAAAGTGCTAAATCTGATAATTTATATCTACAGTAACCCATGCATTTAGTTCAGGTGCTAATAATGTTTGGTTAAGGTGCTGAATCTGATAGAATATATGTACTTGGAGGACTTCTTATATTTTGCTGACCAAATGTTTTACTCACAGTACATCATTCCTTTATATATGTTCTGATATTCCAAATATTGCAATAGTTTTAGGATTATATAACTATATAGGTTTGTTGAGTTCACAATCTTGTTTGACACATGCTGAAAGCTTAGCACAAATTTAGCTTTGCTGATTTTTGTAAGGGTTTAAAAGAGTGGGTTCATGTATCTAGTCTAGTTCTTTTTGGCAGCTCTAACTGATCCTTTTTTGCTCCATTTCTTGTGATTTAAACAGCCAGGACCTAAAGATTTTCCAATCCAATGCTTCATCAAGCGAAACAAGAAGAATTCTATGTTTTATCTCTACCTTGGATTGACAAACAGTAAGTTCATATGGCATCATACAGTGCCTCCCCTCATGCCTTACTCTGTCATTAGCTTATTCTTATTTGTCTTAGTGGTGAAATTCAGTCTTAAAACAATTTGGCATGCAGTGCGAGTAATCATAAACCCGGTTTTCTGAAGTATCCTTTGTTTTTGTGCTATGCTATTTGCTTCAGTTGTTCTAAGATCTGTAATGTATGTGTTCAAAGCTTGTCTTTACTGAATGTTGTGTCTGAACTGCTTTTATATGTCCGTGCACAATTCAGAACTGAATGTCCACAAGGAGAGTCACTTGTGTATTTTATGTCAGTGTAACAATAAGATAGTGCATGTTAAGCGATTTCTTTTTTTGTTAGCAACAACTGATAGAGCCAGACAAAAGATTTACACACGTTGGACATGATATCTGATAGAACAGAAGAGGATTGTGGGGATAAGTTAGCGGCAGAAGTTTACACGGATCACTAGAATAATTTACCAAATGCATGCTTGCTTAACATTATTCGTGTTGGTTTACATGACTGTTCTTTCCTTGTTGAGAAGATTTTTTCTGGTTGTTTACTTTTTTAAGATTTGATGGCTGCCATGGACAAAGGAAAGTTTCTCATGGCTGCTAAAAGATTTCGACGGGGTGCTCATATAGAGTATATTATTTCCCTTGATGCTGACGATATTTCACAAGGAAACAAGGCATATGTGGGAAAATTGAGGTATTTTCATGCAACTCATAGTTTGCTTATACCTTCTAGTGAATCTTGCAAGCGCTTCTTTTCTTACAGACAGGGCTGAACTTTAAACTTCATCTGAGTTTGAAGAAGTGACAATTGATAATACCTAATGGTAGTTATTTTGTATTTTATTCTGCGGGCTCATGTTGGGTTTCAACTCTAGCCTACCCCAACTTGCTTGGGACTAAAAGGCTTTGTTGTTGTTGTTGTATTCTGGGGTTACTGTATTTCTGTGATTCTTCAAAACAGGTCTTCTATTTGGGGCTTAGGGGAAATTAAGGAGAACATGAGCATTTGAGCCGGTACTTGACATAAAACAGATTTAAAATTTCCTTTATTTTTATTTTGGTGAAGCAGACAAATTTAGTACCTGGTTATGTTTGCTAGTGTTACATTATCTATGTTATATGTTATATATTTCCTTAATAACAAAAGGAGGGTCTTTTTTTTTTCTTTCCCATTGGTCTTGTGGGTTGGAACTCTTCATGCCAACGGTCTCTAGGAATTATAAGCAAGCAGCTCTTTCTTTTAGTCTTGAACGTGCTGGAGAGCTGTCTATCATTCCATTAGGGAAAAAACAGATGTTTTGTTGATTACATATTTCAGTATTTACTCTACTCTCCATTTGATTTCTTGGTGCAGACAATTTTAGTCTTGTGTGTTTGTGTTGTAAGCTTTCTGGTTATAGACCTGACTATACTTCTGCTGCACCCATTGTATTGTAGGTCTGATTTTTGGGGAACAAACTTCAAAATATATGACAGCCAGCCACCCTATGATGGTGCAAAGGCGTCAAGCACTCGATGTATTCAGCGTTTTGGAAGCAGGCGAATCAGCCCCCAAGTATCGCCGGGCAACTTTGATGTTGGACAGGTTTCCTACAAATACAACCTGCTCAAATCCAGAGGGCCTAGGAGGATGCTTTGCACCATGGAGTGCCCTTCTGTTCAAGAGACCTGGGAGAACTCCCTCAAGGTGAAGTCTTTGAGGCAAACGGGTAGCACTGTCCTTAGAAACAACGCCCCACGGTGGCATGAGCAGTTGCAATGCTGGTGCTTGAACTTCCATGGACGGGTGACAGTTGCATCTGTCAAGAATTTCCAGCTGGTGTCTACAACCGACCCAAGCCATCCTGATAGCGTCGATGATGCGGAAACTGTTCTCCTGCAGTTCGGTAAGGTTGGGGACGACATCTTCACCATGGATTATCGCCAGCCGCTCTCAGCATTTCAGGCGTTCGCCATCTGCCTTAGCAGCTTTGGGACAAAGCTGGCTTGCGAGTAACAATCATGTCGCAGAATGGCTGTGTACACCAACTGTCGAATCCTCTGATGTCTTCCGGCCTTCCGGGTGCTATTACCATGGCTTTCGCAGTTAGAGGCTACCACTACCTTTTCTTCAGGAATGGTTTCAGCCGTGCCATTTACAAGAATTGAATAAATTCGCTTTGCAGAGTTGTTTCTAGGCCAGAAGATGTATGTAGACTTAGCTTGTGCTGGGAATTGAAAAGGAAACGTGCCTCTTGTACATAAGCACTTGAATTGAGGAGCTAATGTTTCCCCTTTTCTTTGAGAGCCACCATCCTGTAATAACCTCGACTATGAGTTTGAGTTATATAATCATGGTGACTGGCGATCAAAATTCTGTAAGTTTGTGTTGGCTGTAGTCTCCACAGATAGTTGCCTGCCTGTGGACACTAAATTTATCCATGAACCTTCTAAAATTATAGCCCGAGCAATAGCACAGGCTGATGGACTAGCCATCTGAATTCGATGACACAGTTGCTGGATGTAGTAACAAGCTGTTCGGCTGCTGCCCGCTAAGATCACTAGCTACTCGTACGAATCCCTGCTGGCCTTGGCAACGTCGGTCTCCAGTGTATCCATCTGCTGCTCAAGCAGCCTCAGCCTCTGACTCATGCGGTGCAGCCTCTTCGTGTCAGGCTCATCTGCAACGAAACGCAAGGATCAGTCAGTTTCTCCTACTGAATATTAGGCCAAGGAATTGAAGAAGAGGAGTTTCAGTTATGCCTACCGAGCTGCGTGATGAACTGCGAGACGCCGGTCGCCGCCCCCTGGCCGGTGTCAGCAGTAACGGCCGCGCCAGTGTTGGTGGGTTCCTGCGACTTGGATGATGAGCCACCTCTCCTCCTCCCAAGCGTGCCTGCAATGCAAACTAGCTGCTGCTCCTATAGTAGCTATCACCTGCAGGCTTCAAGCAGCTCACCTTGGAGTGTCTGACTGGTGTAAGTGTAACGACCAGCGAGGCTTGCAGTGTCCTTATATACGTGCCTGGACGTGCTTGATTTTTTGACTGCCCCCATAATTGGATGGAGTGCATCACAAACTGATTGGATTTTGTGCTGTGGTCTAAAGATTTCACTGACTGAGCCTGCTTCAGTCAAATGTTGGAGTCAGAGTCAGACCTGGCGACTTGGACCGGAACCTTGGCCACCAGTTACGTCAGACCAGGGGCTTCTCGCTTCACTGGCTCGTGATTTGTGACAGTGATTTTAAGCTTCAGAGTTGGAAATTTGATGGAACTTCTGTGCAGTGTGCACACAGATTTCACTGAAGTAACACACGCGATATACTACTTAACAGTTTCGGTTTGCAATGCATGCCTACCTGCGTTCCCCACCCAACACGGCCTGATCTGAGCTTAGGCTGCCGTGCTCGTCGTTGCCCTGTCCCGTCCGATGCGTGGAGCGGAAAACTTGATAAACTTTCGCGGCTTGTACCGCGGGCACGGCACATCCGTTGCGTATGGATCGCGGTTCTAACGGAGGCACCGAATTTTCGGCTAGTCCTCCGCCTCTCCTCGTGAAAAGAAAATCGACGCAAACCTGCGTTTCTGTATTTCACGGCCGAACAGACAATTTTCAGTGGTTGAAGGGCCAAGGGCCAAGGGAGGCAGTCAGGCAGGACTGCGTCACTGCGTGGCCGGTGACCACTGACGATTCCGCAGGCTTCGGTTGGCAAGGCACCAGAGCTTGACAGTTTTTGAACCCCGAGAGCTTGTTTTTCAGAGTGCCAGCCTGGTCGAAACCCCGACGAGCACAGCATTTTATTTTATTTTTTTGAAGGAAACAGCATATCTTTTGTTGACAAGGAACACGACTATAGGCCCTTTTTCGACTTATGCTAATGCTTATGCTGATGTGTTATGAGAGTAAAATCATGTTCGTTCGCTGAAAAGTACAACTAAAATAGTTCAAGCGAACATAGTCAACAAAGGGGTTGTTCCGCTGGCTTATTGCCTGCTGGCTGGCTGGCTTATTCTCTCACGAAATCACTATTCACGTCCTGTCAGAACAGTATTTTTCTCTCATAACAATCAGCCGGAACAGTATTTTTCAGTCCTGCCGAACAGGGCAAAGAATGTTAGGGTGTGGCTTGCGTGGCAGAAGCTTAAGGTAAAGAGACTAAGATATACAAAGATATTCTATACGTAAGACATTAGCTAATAGTCAAAGCGACTTATAATTTGAAACGGATGAGTAATTAATAGCTAATTATTAGCTAGGTGGTAGGTAAGACATTAGCTAACTTATTATTAGTCATGATCCAAACATGAAATCAGCTACTTTTTAGCAGCTAATCTGTTCTAAAGAAAAAAAACAATTCTTGTTTTAACACAGTCAAACAAATTAAAGTTGGTCAAATCTATAAAAAAATACTAACATTTATAATTTATAATACCGAGGCTTTGTTTGCATTCATCCAACTAACTATTAAACGTGTTAGCCGAGAAAAAACTTGCTAATAGCTAATTGTTAGCTGCGTGGTAGGTGAGACAGTAGTTGAGAATCCAGACATGACCTCAGCCAATTTCTAGCAGCTAATTGTTAGCTATATGAGATCCAAACAAACCCTAAATAAATATCAATAGATTAATTATGTATTATACTCTCATGGCAAGACTTTGTTTGGATCTATAGAGCTAATAATTAGCTTCTTTGAATCTAAATACATCCAGCTAATTGTTGGCAAATATCCAACTGATAACTTGGATCAAACCAGCTAATAAGACCGAAGCAACTTCTGAAACCTGGGAGTGCACGAGAGGTTCCTTCGGCAGTGCTACAACATTTATCGGGCGATGCCGCAAGCAATGACCACCACGGTCCACGGCCACGGCCTTGCTGCCCTGCCCCCTACAGTCCTACGGCGAAAGGACGTAGTGCGTGCTCCACGGTTTCCACCGGCCATCCGGCTTAGGCAAGGTAACCGCCCTGCCTGTAGCAGCAGGTTTTCGGTGAAGCTGGAAAAACGCTTCCGCCGTTCCGCGCAAGAACCGTGCTGCTGACTCCTGAGAACGGTGCAACGCAGTGGCGTGAAGGCCCTGCCCACCCAGCTGGAGCGTTACCAGCGGGCAGCGTCGTGTGCCCGTCCCTCCGCCGTCTCCGTCAAGTCAACCTCGCGTTGCTGGCCGGCCGGTGTGAGGAGGACTCCTGATCCGAAGAGAGAAGCAAAGCAATCGGCGATGATGCACAGGTCTCTCCTCCTGACCTTGCCATGTGAGTACGTGACACGGCGTCGGTCCGGTCCGGCCCCCGAGCAGATGCACTCATGCACGCAAGACGGCGGAGATTGGTTGGGTCACGTCACGGCCGCCGGTTCAACTCGAGCGCCGCGGACGCGGACGCGGACGCAGACGCGGAGACGCCTCGTTTGCGACGGCATGCGATGCGTTCCCGGCGCGGCGTCTGAGATCTGACTGCTAGCTCCTAGCCTCGAGACAGAGGACTTGTCTTGTATCCAGCGCCGCAGCGGCAGCTGCAGAGAGGAGTATGTAGTGGTACGAATTTGGTATTAACCGCGCGATTCAACGAAGACAGCCGGATCCAGGTACACGATCCGTGGCTGCCAGACCCCGTGGCAACTTGGGCAAAAGCAGCAGAGTCCGGCGCGGCGGCTAATACGGACTACGGAGACGCGTACAGCTAGCCGGCCAGCCAGCCCGGCCGGAAAACGGGGGCAGAGGTAAAGGTTGGCAAACCGACGGGCGGGCGACGTGTTGGTGTTGGTACCGGGCCGGCCGCGGCCGGCCGGGAATTGATGGGTGGGTGGTGGGGACGCGGGGTACAAGCAACCGAGCGTTACTCGCGGCGCTGGCCCGGACGGACGGACGCGGCCCCGGGGAGGGTCCACCCGCCGGCCGGCGCCGGTGGTTCCCAAGTCCACGCCGCGCGCCCGCGCCTGCCTCGGCGCGTGCGGTTCGGTGCCGTGCCGTGCCGTCCGCGCCAGTGCGTGACAGGCAGGGGGGGCCTGCGCGGACTGCGGCGCTGCGGGCGCAGCGGCGTGGTGCGTGAGAGGAGCAGGAACCCGTCCCAATTCAATGCTGCGGCCGGAGGCCGGATGGCCCGGCTTTCTCTGCCCGCCGGTCGCACGGCACGGGCAGGAGCCGACTAGCCGGCAGCGCGTGGTGGTCTACTCTAGGGACGGGGGCTGGGCTACTGGGGTGGAGCCGTGGAGGGAGAGGCGCGCGCTGGCCACGTACACCGAACGGAGACGCGCGTGGGCGTGGCCGGCCTTCACGGACGGGCGGTGGCGGCCTCCGGTGCGGTCGTGTGGAGCGGCTGGTACGTGTAGTTTTCGTGGGCGCCAAGGTGTGGTGCCCAGTCCTTGTTATCGACTCCGGGCGAGTAGGTACTCGTACTCCGATTTCCGTCGGCCGCGTCGAGATCTACGCGTTCTCGGCGGTGTTTTGGACTTCGAACGGGCCAGCCAAGGAAAGTATGGCTGTTCTTCCTGATTCCATCGAGGCTCAAAAGAGACGGCCGTGGACGACGGCGGTGAGGTGAACGGCAGCTGAAGGAGAGGAGGTTTGCCACCTGCGTGACCGTGCGAAGCAAAACCATTTTTCCGTTAAGCGACTCCTCTAAACATACCAGGTTGTTTAAATATCCTCTAAAAAACATTCAACGATTCAAAGCCTTTTTCTTTCTTGCGTAGAACGGTACCCGCACACATCTTGACTATTTAAAGAGACCACTGAACAGATTTTAGACTAATATAAAGTCATCGCAATCGACTTGAGTTTAACAAATACATCGTCTCCAAATAAAATAATTAACAACGAAGTTAAGGTGCAATCAGTTGCACGATTCGGCGAGCGCATGACCCGTCTTCCTCCATACTAGCACCCTCGCCCAACCTCGGCGTCTATGCCGCCCACCCCTTAGCACTTCCTTTATCTCCACGGCGAGATCACGGCTCCCGCGTCCCTCGACCCTGCTCCCGCGTCCCTCGACCCTGTCCTCCATAATCACAGGGACACCG